TGGAAGCGCTCGCCTTTCTCCGCGTATGCTCCCATGTTCTCCTTGAATTTATCAAGATGAGCATCAAGGATATGGACTTTGAGGGATATCCTACAGCCCATTGTGCCATAGTTCTTCACCAGAGTGTCAACCAGCTCCACATAATTTTCGACCTTGTGATTGCCCAGGAAGCCACGAACCACTGCGGCAAAGCTGTTCCAAGCCGCTTTCTCCTTACTCGTGAGCTTCTTGGGGAATTCATTGCACTCCAGGACCTTCTTTATCTGTGGTCCGACGAAGACACCGGCTTTGACCTTTGCCTCAGGCAGCTTAGGGAAGAAGTCTTGAAGGTACTTGAAGGCTGCCGACTCCTTATCTACAGCTCTGACAAATTGTTTCACAAGACCCAATTTTATGTGCAGTGGTGGCATTTGGACCTTCCGGGGGTCCACCAGTGGCTCCCACTTGACGTTGTTCCTCCCCACAGAGAACTCGGTTCGCTGTGGCCAGTCCCGCCTGTGGTAGTGCGCCTTGGTGCCCCTGCTGTCCCGAAGGCAAAGATAGCAGGGAAACTTGGTAAAACCGCCTTGGAGACCCATCAGGAATGCCACTATTTTGAAGTCTCCGATGACCTCCCAGCCGTACTCATCATACTTCAAGGCGTTCAGCAAGGTCTTGATGCTGTTGTAATCCTCTTTGAAGTGCACCGAGTGAGCCAGGGGAAGAGACGGGTACTTGTTACCATTATGGAGCAGCATGGCTTTGAGGCACCTGGATGAGCTGTCAATGAAGAGGCGCCACTCATTCTGGTTACAGGTGATTCCGATTGCCTCGAACAGACTGGTCACATTTTGGCAGAAGCAAAGCCCATCTTGACGGGTCAACAAGCTGCAAAAAGGTTGGTGACGCTTCCTCTGATCTGCGACTTGCACACTTTCATCCAACAAGTTCCACTGCTTGAGCTTAGACGTCAAAAGCTCGGCATTGGACTTGGTGAGACCAAGATCTCTGATCAAGTCGTTGAGGTCTTTTTGGTTGGGGTAGTATGGGTTTATTTCCTCAGCTCCAACTCTGAAATTGTCATCTGGATCTGCAACGTCTTCCTCGCTCTCTGACTTGCAGGAGTGGGTACGGGGAGCTCATGGCAGTGTGGCACCGGGGCGATGGATGAAGGAAGGTCCGGATACATGATAGCAGGTGCATTCTTGCCAGTCCGACGTTTGAAAGGGTCCACCATGCAGAAGTAGCAGTTGCTTGAGTGGTCAGTGGGTTCCCGCCAAATTCTTGGGATAGCGAACTTCATGGCTCTCTTTTCCCCTCTGTACCATCCTACAAAAATACATTTATTTCACCCATGACTAATGTGTAAGAGATTCTCGCAACATTTTTTATATATGATATATGTTTTCAACAACATTGAAAATTGTAAAACATTTTAAAATAAAAAACTTTTACAATTTTAATTTTTGTAACAACAATTGTCCATCTTACCTTCTAGAGTTTTTTTGCATTGCTCGCAGGTGAAATGAGGTGCTCAGGGTTTGTCTTGATCCCCGACAGGCATGCCGAAATATGCCTTGTAGGCCTCACACATCTTAGCAGATGCTTACATATCGTACTTTTTTGCTATAAATTGGCCGCAGACAGCAAAATGCGTCTGCCGGATGCTTGCCACCTCTTGATGTCATCTCAGAAAAATGCAGATATGTATCCACTTAGGCAGCTGGAACTCAACTGAACTGGTGGACTTAAGGCCCCTGTATTTATACTACTATTTATATTACTGGAAAGTTCTGGAATGTTCTAGAAGTTACTCCAATTTTACTCAGCACTGAATCTATCTGGAATGTTCTGGAAAATAGGTAATTTTCAAAATATCAATGTTCTGGTCACCAAAGCAAAGTTTATGGGGAATAATAGCCATTTTATGTACTTGTTAGGCATAAGCAAATAGGAAATAATACTTACTACCCAGGAACAAAAAAAAATGTGTTACACAGTGAAGTATCACAGGGCAGAAATCAATCACTCACTTGCTCACGACGATTCATTTAATGCCATTGGTCGGTTGTGAAAATATTTACTAAGCGAATGCATAGCTGTGGAATCCTTCTTCTTTCGTATGGCATTTTTGGGGATTGCAACAGATTGCAAATTCGACTGCTTCAGCAGTAGCTGCGTGGATTTTTTGCAGATCGCCGTTGAATGATCCGATTGGGACAGTTTTTCACGAGATGTTGCACGGTCTCAGATGTTGCACCATATTATATATTACGTTCCACAATATTACATTGTGGAATGTAACATTACAAGCCATTCAGATTTAAGCACATGCATACTTTTTAGGAGAAATTTGCCGTTGACTAAGTCTTTCAAAAATATTTAAAAAAAATCACTGTAACCTTGAGGGATATATTCAAAATTTATATTCCTTTGAACTGCATGAACCGTTCTTCCTGCTTTACAATATTTTTTTAAATGCAGTACACATTCATGCTTTTAATGACATTAATTTACAATACGTGAGAAGTGTGTGTGTGTGTGTACTCGTGTATTTTAGCAACAGCCTGTTAACTTTGTGTTTAATACCACAAAGACGTGTCGAAAAATAAATTTTCCACTCCACATTCGTCTTTACTTCTTGCTTAATCTGTAGCAAGCCCACACTCTTGATAATAAGCCACATCCTTCTTAAACATCACCAATGTATTTGTATACACATGTATGTGACATGCAATATTTAACACACACGCCCTTGTCTCTCTTCACGGGAGACCTGGACTTCAAGTACAAGTTTGGAGCGTCTTGTGTGCATTTTCTAAGTTGTCAATTAGCCGCACCGAAATTATTGAGATTAAACTCCGACCGTGGCTTCCTAGAAGCCTACATTGCCGCGTTTCTCAATTCAAATTACAGCATAATAATAATGAAAAAATCTAAATGCGACATGTGGCTTTGAACCAGCTATGCATACATTTTCTGAACTTTAATATTTCATCAGTTTAACACGTAGGCTTCCACGACCAATATCATGCATAAGAGGGTTATTTTGGGTTAGATCGCGTAAATATATAAATGTGTCGTTAAACCCGCCACCACCCGACACAGCCAACCAGTAAGGGTTGTCACGTAAACAAAACGTGGCCAATTCGTCACTAGTACAGCACACCAGTGGGTTGGAGAGCCAAGCCACAACATTTATATCTAAACATATATAAACTTCAAATATCATTGTTTAATATTTGATGTTTATATTTACTCTATTTGGTCGCCACGTGTATACAACCAGGAGCGAATCTCCAAAGCTCTCTAATAAGTATTTATATTCTTGGTTCTTTCGGTAAAACAATAAAATAATAAAAGTATAAAACAATTTTTTTTTTATATTTTTATAATTTTATTGTTTCCCTTCCACGTTACTTTACCGAAAGAACCAAGAATATGAATCCCTGCAGTCACGAAAGCTTTAAATCAAAGTATATATGTACACGATTTAAAGCTTTCGTGACTGCAGGGATTCATATTCTTGGTTCTTTCGGTAAAGTCACGTAGAAGGGAAATAATAAAATAATAAAAATTAAACATAAAATTCTCACGACGTTTCGGCCACAACGCAAGCAGCCGTCCTCAGCTCTGTTCTTCACCTGAGGACGGCTGCTTGCGTTGTGGCCGAAACGTCGTGACAATTTTATTTTATTATGTTTTCTTTTTATTATTTTATTATTTTCCTTCTACGTGACTTTACCGAAAGAACCAATAATATATATACGTTTACATGTATTAGCACTTTCACTCGGCCATATGCTGGCTTGTTGTAATCTTAGTTCGGAGACACAACAGGGCCATTCTTAAGCTTTAGGTTTTGATGTAATTATCTGGGGTGATTCAAAGTTGCAGCATCCTTCAGCTCCTCTCCGTAAAATCTACGGCCCCCCATCCTGGACACACCATCCCCTCAATCTGTCTCTCTCTCTCGAGTCCACGCAATATTCGAGGTTTCCACCTCGCGCACAAGCAGCACTCCGGCGCGGAGGCTGAAATGAAGTTGCACAGATAAACTTTCGATTGATCGGGCTGTACAAAAATATGAATGGGTTTCAAATTCACCAAACGATGCGTAATGGATTAACGAGCGCAAGTGAGGTACCGCAAATGCGGACAACTGGCTGAATATTCACACAAAATAACGACACGTTAAGTACGCATTCCTGTGTGCGGGCTGTTCGCTTGAGCAGAATAAGAATCTTAATTTATTATTGAGGAATCCGATGAGCTGTTAAACTATTTTGCACAGATGTCCAGTAAGGGCGGGTTAAGAACGTTCCGACAACATGTAGTACAAAACACATGATCGTAGTGAAAAGTACAAGGTAAACAAATAACACAAACATATACGAGTAAAACTAAACCATCCCCATCCTACCAGGCAAAGCTCACTGAGGTATTCACTTATTTTTCAGAAGCGACCCGACCACAAATGATAGCTCAACAAAGTAGCCCATCATTTGGACAATTATCGCACCAAAACAATTAAAAATCAATCTCAACGCATGTTTCTAAATGTGGAGTGAGAAACCGCTACACATAAACGGGTTAAAGTTCGCACGGAAAATTCAGATGTACACGATACTTTCGCATTCCCGTGGACGTACGGGCTACTCGCTTACTTAATCTAAATGTACTAACTGCTGCATAAAATGTACAAAGTTCGCACGGGCAATCCAGATATACACACAACGCACATTGAATTTTGATTTAAAGCTTTCGTGACTGCAGGGATTCATATTCTTATATTTTTATTATTTTATTGTTTCCCTTCTACGTGACTTTACCGAAAAAACCAAGAATACAACGCACATTACATATATATAGAAAAATAAACTACGCTTTGGACACAATTCTTAAAAACTACGACAGCTTCGTGGCATTCCTGCTTAAGCACACAAAGAGGGAACCAAGGTGACACGCCGAACGGTAACAAGCGAGAGTCCCGAGCCGTCCGCGAAACGTCGTTTCGTTACCTTTATGCCACCAGACGCCAGGCTGCGCCGCCGCCGTCGCCGCTGCTCTCCGGCAGGGAGGTTATCCGCGTGGCTCCCCCATAACCCGCTGGCCCCGGCAAAAAAAAAATGAAGAGAATCTCATGTTTGTAGCAGGTATTTATTATCTGTGAGCCGAGCCCCCGGGCAGTGGAGTTCTTGACATTATCGCCCAGAACGGCAAGTCATGTGACATTTTACACACCCAGGAAATCTTCACCCTCCCCACCCCACGCCCCCCTTCCTACGCCCTGTCTACTGGTGTATTTTTTTTACATTATAATTTTTGTTGTCGCAGTTTTTCGGACTGATTCTTTTTTTTAGCAACGTCTCAAATTTGTGTTCATGTAAAGTTAAATAATGCGACACGTGCGTATGTGCTGCTTGTGGAATGCTGTTTCACATTCGAGGACTGTGGACAGAGTTTCTCAACTCACAATATGAGGGTCATGAGTTCGACACAGTTGGTGGGGAAGGGGGTTGGGATGGGATGGTGGTGGACAGCCAATCATCTCGATGGGGTCAGTAAAATGAATACCGCTTTGTGTTATCTCAACACTGTGGTTGTACTCTGGATGGCCTAGTCTCTGCCATAGAAATGTGGAATTTCCACAAGTGACTCAGGGCTGCCTGTGGTGATTATGAGCATCGCTCGCTTGGTCGAACGTCACTTCGACCTATTTTGGGTTATTTTCTCAAAAATGCACACCCAACATTTTTCCGCTCAGGTACATTAAACATGACTCACAATGCTTGTTTGCGTCTCCTGCTGTGATCGTTGACGCCTGCTGCTGCCGCTGCCACTGCCGCACAAGTTGCTCGCAGCGGCGGCGAAACAACGGTTACAATTCGGCCCCATTGTGGGGGAAAAAAACCCCAGTGGGTGGCCGGACGGCCACCTGCCCAGAAACGGATAGCGAGGGCAACATTTGCTTGCTGTCAAGCCGTGCGCGCGCACGCACGCACGGCCGGTTGGCTCCGCGTGACGGATGGGGAGGGTGGCAGCGTTGGTGGGACTGGAGTGGTGATAATTGTGGCCTCCAGGCGTCACCATCGCGCACGCCCCGGTGCACATCTCATGCACTGCCCCGGGTTCCCGTCGGGGAGTTCGCCCAGTTGGGGCCATCCTCCCCACCCTGCCTGTCCTCATTTTCGCGAGAACTTCGTCTCGTGTCGAGTCGGGGAGGGCCCCACGCTTCGAGCAGGCGAGTGTGGACAGGGGCAAGGTGCGCTGCCGCTGGTTTATCAGAATCTGAATCTTGATTTAGACTGGAGGAATCCGATGATCTTTGAAGCTCTTTTCACAGCTGTCTAGTATGAGCGGGTCGCCACCTGTTCTCGTCTCCCCCCCCCCCCCCCCCAGGATCCCGTCCTCTTATTGAAGTAGCTGCTGTCCTGGAAAATCTGGGAGTCTTCCCGAGACATGAAAATTTCTGATTTTTGTCAGTTGACTAATTATAACCACTGAAGACAAGGTAATTACTTGTAGATCTCCCCTAGTCTGGCATTGTTAGACATTTTATATGTATGTGACACTTGACACCCTTACACATGACAAATGAGACGATCCATCTGAAAGGATTGTCACAGGTAAAATGTTAAAAGTAATTATTCTTCCCATTATAGATACATATACTGTATGTGGCAGGTTTTTTTGTATCGGTCAGAGGTGGCAAACCTAGCTGCTGCTGGTGGTGGTTGCTGTGGCTTCTGGTGGTGGTGGTGATCCTTGGAATTGAAATGTCAGCTTCCATGTGGTCACGGACAAACGGCTTTCACTGAACAACGATCACGTGCCCACCCCCCACCGTCTTGAGGGGTGGATGGTTGCAGGTCACAACGAAAACCGAAATAAAATTCGAAGACGGTGGAGCTGATCGCGTGGCACGGGAGTGACGGGCAAAGAAGCCCACCAATCTCAATGCGCTCACTGAATATTAAAACACTGATTCAATATGTTCATTATCTCCTCGATGAGACGCGGAGCCATCGCTTTGGCAATATTCAGTCACCCTGTTGAGAAGGGTGAAAAAGACGGCTCGTGAAAAAAAACAGTTGAGCATCTATAAATGGATCGCCTTGTGTAAGTCACAGCAGGTGTGATGGTTTTTTGTTCTAAATTAAACACATCAACAGCAACAAATCCGAGAGAACCACCACGCATATATTCCAAACGCGATCACCGGCGCGCCAACCATCGCCATCAACCCGCCGGATCCAAAAGCAGCCGGCTCATTAATTCCCTGCGATTCAATAACGGGAGAAGGACGAGGAGCGGGGATGGCTGTTTAGTATTTACATTTTGGCGTGCACGGGGAGAGCTTCGTGAGGCGTGCGTTGCGCGAGACTTACTCGCATGGGATCTCTGGGGTTCCAATAGCCCCGTAGCCCTCGGGGACAATTAAGTTGTCAGTGCGAATGTGAGAGTGGCTTTTTGATGGCGAGCAGGGGGCCCTGACAACAGCGTAAATGCCCCGTGCTCCTCACCCGCTGCAACGGCTCGGGGCGCCCGCGAAAACTGCACGATTGCTGGTTGTCACGTGTGTCCGGATATTTCCAGAAGAAAAACGATTTCTTCGCTTGTTCATGTACGTATCGTACCGTGGTAATCGGAGGTGCGGGGGAAGGACAACAAAAAGGCCACTGCTGGATGAAAGCCTTCCGCAAGCCTTGCCGGTCTGTCAATTGGCGGATTGCGTGACCATACTTCACCACGCTGGTTAGTGTGGGGTTAGTGATGAGGTGGAAGGGGAGAGGCGGTGGTATGGGGTGGGAGTTTCGAGGACCGGTTTAAATAATCGTGACCGATGTTTACCGTGATCGTGGAAATCAAACTGGCTGGGTTCCCTGCGTAATATTTGTACCAACTGCTGAGCCACTGCTCAACCGCTTCATGTGATGCATACAAACACAATCCACCATTGTACTGTAGTTATGCCCTCCGCGTCTATGCTGCCCACGTTCACCAACAGCAAGGGCTCTACGTATTGACGGGGAAAGCACGCGCGTCCAGTTTATGCCGTGTCTGTGCGAGAGCCGCTGCGGTTTGGGATTGCTCTGCCCTGTGAAGCTGCAGTTATCCCCTCCTACAAACCTCACCGCTCCACTCTCCACAATTATCTCGTCTCGCCGTTTGTATAAAGCCAGGGGGCAAGCGTGGAATTTGTACATGTCCTAACGGACGGTTAGCAGCTGCTGGTCGGCCAGTTATGTTTACACGCTTTCTTTTAACTCACTCTGTTGTTGTTGTAGCCTCAAATCTTGTAACTCAATTTTAACCCACTTCCCAATGTGGTATCGACTGCAAATCTGGTATACTTATGTCATACTGATGACAATACTATATTCTTACGTCGTTTTCAATATTCGTCGTCGCACATTTGAAGCAATTGGCGGGACCCCGGGGTCCCATCACTGCCCCGGGGTGGGAAAAACCGCGTAGCGACACGAGTCTTGCCTTACCCACAACAAAACTAGTGTCAATCGATTGGCCTCGTTGAGAGCTACTCGGGGCACTAAGTTTCGTAAAAAGTTGAAAAATTACATAAACACGTTAAATTCACTGCGGGGGCGGGCTCGCCTTGGCAAAGAAGCTGAGGATCGACGGCTGACCGGAGGGCGTCGTCGCCACGCGCGACTGTGGTGGACGCCCCCCGGGCTTGCGTTTGGCCGGTGGGGTGGCGCCCATCGTGTTGATCGCCGCCTGCTGCTGGCGCTTGTTGGCGCGAGTCTGGGCGGGCGGCCCATTGCTGTCGGGATCACGAGTGGGCGGACTGTAACATAATAATTATTGACCTGATTTTTGCGGGACCCCGGGGTCCCGCCAAATGATTCATTTCACGAACGCATCCCCGACATAAACCGGGTGATTACCGTGTGTGTGTACATATATGTTTAAAACCAACTTTTGAAACTCTTCACTATCTACTATTTTTACTTTGCCAGGTAAGACCCACTCTTTTTCAGAAGTGACGTGGCCACAAGTGACGCTCAACAAAGTGCCTCATCACGTGGAAATGTATAGCAGCAGCCAACTCCTCGCACCGCACGCTCATTCTAAACGTGTAGGGGGGGGGAAAAAAACCGGAGGACCCGGAGAAAATAATCCACGGGGAGAGGGAGAGAGGGAGAGAGAGAGAGGGAGAGAGAGAGGGAGACACCGCAAACGATCCGGCGAGGGAGTTAACATCTCGCCACCGCAGCGCCCCTGACACGCCGGTGTGCAAACGCTGTTGTGCACTGGAGGTGAAAATGTGCATCGCGTCACGTCTGAATAGCCGCGGGTGGGCACCGCCGTGAAGGTAATGTGAAGAGACCGAGTGTGAATTCCTGCACGTTGCCTCCTGCGCCTCCCAGCTGCCGACTCGCGACTGGCAGCTCAGAGGCGGCGTCGCCACAGGTCAGCAGCCTGCCTGCCCTCCGGGCACGAGGTGGGCTCGCTCATTTGTTATTTTCGTTCTCGTGTGTAACCGTCGTGCAGATGTTTCATACCTGGGACCTGTTTATGAAGTTGGAGGTGTGGGGGAGGAGGAGGTTGGGAGTGGGGTGGGGGGGGGCATTTGCGCTAATGAAGTCGGTGGCGTGCGGTGTTTTTTGGCCTCAGACCAACAACATTTCCTGGGGTGTTCGGGCTTTTGCGAGTGCAGCCTCCCAGGCCTCGGGACTCTTCGCCCTTGCTAACAAGACAATCGGAGATGTTAGAATTTTAGATATACAGTTAAGTCTGTTTTGAAAACTGACCTCCTTACATTGGGCTTTAACCTCGGAGCTCTGCCCGTTTACCGTTGCAGGTTCTGTTTATTTCCTGAATTTCCATACACGGCGGCACGTGTTATTGGACGGATCTACGGACGAAATGCGCCTTACAGATGTAAATGATCACTAACGCGCTGAATGCGAGTGTGCCTGATCTCGTCGGATCTCGCAAGTTAAGCAGGTTTGAGCCCGGATAGTTCTTTGATGGGAGACTGCAAGGAGATTTCCAGGTGTTGTAGGTTTGGACAGCGAGGTGACCAAGAGATGAACGTTACGGAAATTGCTTAATTATTGAATCTGTCTGTGCGAGCTTTCAGTGTTACCCCCTTGTGTTGCGCGAGATTTATCCAGGCACTCCGTTTTCCTCGCTCGTCGATGGCGGTGGCCAAATATCCCACTTTCGCAGGACCCTCTTGAAAACTATTTTTGTGATTCGCCAATACATTCCTGAATAATGAAGGGAATGAA